GAGAATTATAAGGATTCAACTATGTCATTTATATGAACTTTGATGACACGCTGCATATATTGATGATGTAGTCGAATCGTGATTTTCATTGTGCTATTTTGTTTGATTGGACTTTATCTTCTGAAATTCAAGCTTAGTTAAGAATCTAAAATTCAGTGCAATACTGTCAAAAGAACAAAGGGGTGTTTGGTTTGAATTTTGAAAATAGTTTTTTGATCTCAAAAACTTTGAAAACTAATTTGGTTAGAATTTTTGTTCTCATGTTTTCGGGAAAAAAAAAGAGATTTTGAGCAAAAAAATAAAAAATAAGGCAGTGTTGTTTTTTGAGTTTTCTCCATAAAATTGTGAAAACACAGAGGTCTACCCATCAAACTTTTTTAGCAGTAAAATGCATTTTTCTCCATCTTCTTATGTTTTCTCCATCTATCTCTCTCCCTCTGCAATGACGTTGTGCAACGAAGATGGGAGTAACAAAGATCATTGCTCTGTCGCCAGAGTTTCTCTTCTCCATTCTCTGTCTGTGTGCTTAGATCTCTGTTCTCTGTCTGTGCGCTTTTCTCCGTCTCTTGCAACAATTAATATTTAGATCTACATAGATCTGAAGCTCAGATTTGTGTATATACACAAATATGTGCTCATATATGTATATTTATAGATTTGTATGTGCGTGTGTCTGTGTTTGTGTTTGTGTTTGTGTGTGTATGTGTGTGACTGTGTTTGTGTTTGTGTGTGGGTTTTACGAAGACAGAGAGTGGGGAAAGAAAGATAGATATGAGAATTGTGAGTTTCGTGGATTATTGTCTAAGCAAATTTTACAATTTTTTTTCTTTAAAATTATTTTAAAAAATATATAACCAAACAGGTTTTGCAATTTAAAATTTTTAAAAATATTTTCTTAAAAATCTTCTCCAAAATTATTTTTAATTGTTTTTTTTTTTGAGATACAAACCAAACATGGTTCAAGATTTTTTAACTACTTGAACATATTGTTTTAAGTTCCTACTAGTAGTGAATATGGGATTTGACATAAGTTCCTAAATGTTGCTAATAAAAATACCCACTTCAGCACATTGTTTCGATTTCGTAGAGTGATTGATGCCTTATCCACAATCATACTTTCAGAGTACTGACAATCCTTCAAACATTGTGTAGGCCTTTTAGCACTTTAAGGTACGTTATGAGCACGCACTAAAAGTGTGCACCAAATCACTGATAATTGTTGAATAAGTGAAACTCATCAACGGGCCTTTGGTCTAATGGTACTCTTTATTTTGTGAAAATTTTGTCTTTTTAGGGTTAAGACTTCATGCCCCCTTCCCTCTCCCCCCTCCAAAAAAAAAAGTGAAACTCATTATTATCTGACGGCTGACAATGATTTAGTGTATATAGAATTATCCGTACATTATACATTTTCAACACAATAATATAGGCGTAAAAAGTGAGTCTATTTTGAACTCGTACAAGTTGGTTTAGCAATCAAACAAGCAGTTAAATATTTACATACAAGTAAAATCTAACTTCAAGTCTTGTTGCATAAACTTGGATGTGTAATGTTCAAATGACAATTAGTTAGACAATTTTCATTGAAAAACAAAGGGACAAATACTAAAATTGGTCTCTAAATTTTATCTCCATTTTGTATTTAGTCTTTTAACTTTCAATTATCTCAATTTAAGCTTTCAACTATCAAATTTATCTCAGTTAAGTATTTTTGTTTATTTTGACCGTTAAATCTAAATAGAAACATATGATTTAACGTTTGAAATGGATCAGATTGGATTAGACTCCGGTTGATCTAACAACAAAAATAGATGAAATGACTTAATTGAGACAGAATTGATAGTTAAGAGACTAAATTGAGACAATTGAAACTTAAAGAACTAAATTAAAATCGGATACAAAGTTTATGGACTAATTAAAAAAGATAGCCCAAATTTCGGCCCAAATAACAGGTGCTATTGAGATTCCCCAAATCCAATTCTTAGGATTTCCTACATGATCGTCTAAGCACAAAGATTGAGTTTAATAAAGGTTCTTTTTGGCCATCGCTAACTTAATTTTTTACTCTAATTTGAGTAAAAAATTTAAAATAGTACAAATTCAAATTTAATTCAATTTTTTTATTTATTTTAAGGGTAACTTTTTTGATACAGAATGTCTAAACTTGTGTCGATTAGTCCTTCAAATTCAACGATTCTCCGCCGTAACTCTTAAATGTTAAAATCTACTTTTTAACACTCTTTAACATTTGTAAAACTTAAAAATACCTAAAATTTAGTTAATTAAAGACAAAAAACATACTCCAAAAAAATATGTTCAAATGTTCTAAAATAATTTTTTGTTAAAGTGATACTCTAAATATAAAGCATCATTGTATCAACTTGTATAAATACTGGAGAAATTCTATTTGGGTTAATCATAACCATTGAATAGGTATTGAGTCCCAATAAATAATAAGATCCACAATGAAATCAATGACAATAATTAATCAAGTTTATATTTTAAGTCTACATAACATTGCTCTAAATACTTTATAAGTTTTTCTCTTTTTCTTATCCACTCTTTGTCTTTCTTTTTATTCTCTCTCTCCATCCAATGGTCCCAATAAAAGTACAAAATATGTGAATTAATATTTTGAAAAAGTAGTTAAAATATAAAAATCTATTAAATAGTATATTGAAAATATGCATAACTAAAATAAAAAAATATATATATTTTTAAATAACTGAAACACAAAATCTTAAAACCTTATTGTTGATGCTTTAACCAGACTCGGGACCATAAGGTTCATTTGGTGACTTTATCAACATCATTTTTGGTGTGAATATCAAGACCCACCAGTACTCGTGATGCATGTTGTACCTATTACTGCTTTTTTTCTCTTTCAAAATTTGCATTCCTAATCAGTATGGGTATTTATTTGAATAATAATTCTCATCAATATTTTTTAGTAAGACTTCTTGATTCAACGTTCATTTAAAAAAATAAAATTTCTACACACATGTATGCTGACACCTATTTCACCTCTTACTATCTATGTTATTGTATGAACTTAGAGTATTTTCAACTTTAACTTAAATTTGAGTTAATATTTAAATTAAAAAATTAATTTGATACAAAATACTCTAATTAAAAAATCTAAAGTTAAACGAAACCTTTGCTAAACATTAGCTCCAAAAAACCTACTTTAATCACTACAATACTACTTTAAGTCTCCCATTTTTTTTATCAATTGTAACTTTATTTTAAAAGGATAATAAGAGTAATTTTTTCTTTTAAAAGTATAGTCTTACCGATAGTAATAATAAGGAAAAATTTCATCCACACTTCTTCTAATTAAGCCTAAATTTAATGACACTCTCATCCGATTCTAAAATTTTTTGATTTATACTTTCAAATCAAAAACATTCTTTTAACGATAATGTTTAAAAGAGTCCGTGCAAAAAGTAATGATTTGCTTTTAAATTTTTTAAAAATATCAAAATTATCCTTTCTAATATAAATGTACGAAAATGTCTCGACCCTAAAAGTAAGGGCTTGGCTTTTGGCTTGGTTAGACCTATCCCTTCTGTCACGACAATGTCCTTTTTGCCAATCTTTTCCCAATCAAAGGACTGAATCAAAGCTCCCAAAGTAGCCCCAGGACAAGCCCGTCTCCCAACACCAAATGGAATCATCTTATACCAGCTTTTTTTTTTTTAAGAAAAAAAGATTTTATTCAAACAAACTCCAAAAAAAATTACAAGAAGCAAAGAAAGGATTCTACCCATTATGGCTTTAATCCTTTAAAATATTACAAAAACAACAAATTTACAATTACAATTCTCATTCTAAATACTACCATGTCTGCACAGTGCCATAATGAACTGAACGCTTCACCCTCAGGACTAGCATCATTCTTTGGTCTTGTACCACCAACTGAACTTCCTTTTTTCCCAAAAAATTAGCAACATAAGTCGCTTCTCGGAAAACATGAAAATCTGAAAATCCAACCCTTATAACTCCTTCAATATCTGAGACAGGATGCCCCTTAATCTCCAAGAAACTTTGACCTTCCCCAATACCATCTGAACCAGAACTTCAGAGTCGGACTCAATTAAAATCTTTGCCTCTAGTCCACTCCTCTTATAAAGTCTAATCCCTTCTAATAATGCTAAATAGTCAGCCCTCATATTTGATCCAACCCCATAAAAATAGGCTCCAGCAGAAAAAACTCCACCTACCTGATTTCTTATCACCACGCCTCCACCAGAATCACCTGGATTTCCCCTTGCAGCACCATCAACATTCAACTTGAACACCACACTGCAAGGAGGAACCCAAGTAACCCTTAAAGCTCTGATTTAAACAAAAGCAATTACCCTTACAACCAAAACTTGAAGCATTTCACAACCTCCTGAACTCTCCACTTTCTTTGGCCTTAAACCATACACTTGCCATTTCAGAGAGGCCAAAATTTGCTCAAACACAGAATAAGCACTCCACATGGACTCTTCATGCCACCTACATCTCTTTTTCCACATAAAATGAAAAATCAACAATGAAAGGCCTCTTATTAATCCATGACTAACAGTCTGACTTCGAAAAACCCTAGCAATCCTCTTCATTCTAATCATAGGAAATTCCCAAGCAATTAAACTAAATCCCACCAAATCAGCTAACTTTTTCCAAATAAAATTTGTAAACGAATGACCAGCGAACAAATGCTCAAAATTTTCCAATTCTTGGCAACAAAAATTACATTTGCCCACCAAAGGAATTCCCAACTTCTGAACACTTTCATCCACAAATAAGGCCCCCCGACGAATCTTCCAAGCTACCAATTGGGTACTAGGTGAAACATTTTGCCCCCATATCACCTTAGCTATTTCATGCACTCTCCCTCTCTCTACACGAATTCCATGATGATTTAACAGAGAAGGATCCTGAAGTAGAATCCTTCCAAACCAGCGTATCAGAAATATCTAACAGAATCAAACCAAAACCCATAATTTCATCTCTCAAATCTTGAGATAGAACTTCTCCCATATTCTCCCTTCAGCTTCCTCTTGTTGCAGTGATAACATAACATCAATCAAAGTCTTCTTCTTCCTCTCAACTGCACTTCCGCTTGATTCACCCAATGATACATTTGATTTGGTCCTGATTTTTCGGTGCTCATGAATTAGGAATTGGAAAAGTTTATCCATCTTCTTCATCAATCTCATCATCTTCTTCTCTACCCCTTGAATGTCAACCCACTGAAAGAAAGGAAAATAATCTCCCAAATTTGAACTTCCATGAAGCTCCATCGACTCCCTCAAAATACCCTAAACTGCCACGCTTCTTCATCCACCACATCCTTTCCATAGTACCTTTTTTCCGATATCATTCTCACCATAATATTGAATGAAAGTTCCATGAACTTTGTCCTCAAGTCCACCTTCATGGACTTCTTCCTGAAGCATTGTTGGATGCCATTGGAGATGAAACTACAACGTGAAGCATTCTTTGTTCAAAGAGTCTTCTTCCCCTATTCTTTCTTCCCCCCTCTCTCTCCCACTCTTTGTTCGTGCAACAGACGATTAATCCATGAATGCACAAAGACAACATAGGTTGGGTTAGGTTTAATAAATAGGTGGGGTTAGCTAAACTAAACCATAATTAGTAGTATAGGTTAAATAGTTATACATACAGAGTACGTATGAAATATTTGGGGTTGTTTTTGTAAATCAACCCTAGCCATTTAGGCCGTTACCATACAAAGTCTGACAGATAGTGGCTGTGAAATTTCAGAATTGAGGAGAGGTATAATTGAATTTAGACTTAATTAGAGGGGGCGTAAATGAAATTTTTCTAAATAATAATTTGATAATTTTTTTTTTTGATACCATAAACTTTCACAGTAAAAATAATATAAGTTTTAGTAAAACGTAGCAATCTCTATCGGATTTAAAGTTTGAAGTTTCCTCAACATTTCAAGTATGAGCTCATCGGTTAGGTTAATCCCATCCCATGATTCTTTTGAACAAAAGCCAATAGGAAAGCACTGCATGTCTCTCTCTCCCCACGCCTCACTTTCCCTTCCTCCAGGATATACAAACACAAATCCACCAAGCAACCACATCCCCCGTGAATTAAACCCCCTTCCCCCCTTCTCTTTCGTGCCCCTTTCGTGCCTTTTCATGAAGGAAAAGCCAATAGGAAAGCACCGCATGTCTCTCTCTCCCCACGCCTCACTTTCCCTTCCGCTCTAGGACATACAAAAAAAAGTCCACCAAGCAACCACAACCCCCGTGAATTAAACCCCTCTCTCTCTCTCTCTCTCTCACATTTGAGACCCAACGAGTTTAAAATTCAATCGTGGAAGAGTAATCCCTATTTTACTGGCATATATACTGTATATATGAGTGTTTGTTATGGTTTGTAATGGTGATTGTTTTCTTTGTTTCTTCACAGATCTGAGACATACCCAAAAGACAATTACGTCGCAGCAACTGTCATGGAAGAGTAATCCCAATTTCTATCTCTACTGGCATATATACTGTATATATATATGTAATATATGTGTGTTTGTTATGGTTTATAATGGTGACGTAGAACGACATACACACCACCTAACAAAGAGTATTCAGGACATAGTTGAAAATGTGAAAGAAATTGAAGATGACTATGAAGATCTATTATAACAGAATTTGTTTGAGCATTAGTCCAATTTGGTGCATTTAAACCAACCGGTTGTCTTCTAACTTGCTAGGTAAAACACTTCATCAAATCCTTCTCCTCGACAATAAAAGCAAGCTAATGAGCTTCGTAAATTATTGATTGTTGTGATAGTTTCTTTCCATCTCTTATTCACCCACAAAACAACAAAGTGGGGAAAGAGGAAACCTCTCAGCCGCCGCCTCCAATTTGGTCATTTGGCTTTCACTCTCTCAGTCACTCATGTCAACCCTCAAATTATCCATAAAGCAACCAAAAAGCTAAATCCAGGCCAATATATACAACATAGTTTTCCTACCAATGCAGGAAAACAAATAGGAACCATAAAAAGCAACAACTTAATCTTGAGCAAGTCTACATGCATGTCTCTTCGCCCAATCCGAGAAGCACTTAAACTTTCAACAAAGCAGCTGTTTTTTTTTTATCATGGCAGAGTAATCACTCTCTCTCTCTCTCTCTCTCTCTCTCTCTCTCTCTCTCTCTCTGTGTAGCATGCAGAGGTACGTGGGCTAGCCGTAAACTACTGTGCAAAATGCTTTGCGGTAGCACCTGTCGTTCTATATATATACTATATAGACAATTATACATACATCACTATATGCATTTTATTCTCTTGAAATTTATATTCTTTTACAGGTCTAAATCATACTCAACTGACTGCCACCAGCAACTAACCCCTAGAACTCCATCAACACCATCTTCATCATGGTTCTCCACCACCAGCGTCCACGTGATGGCACTCGACGGCATAGTGAACGTCAACTCCCTCTTCACTGTCGCAGTCTTCATCGGACTTTCCCTTACATCAGACCAAAGCAGCACCCTAAAGAGCAAATCATCATGCAGTACTGACGTTGAAGTGGCGAAAACCCTTGTCGTCTTCGAGGTCTCCTCCTTCAGCTTCTTCCTCTTCTCCTCACTCATCGCTCAGGGTCTCAAACTCGCCATCAACCTCCTGAACAGCAGAGAGGTGGAAGAGGCCTTGAAGGCCAAGATTAACGTCAACATCCTGAAGTTTGGGATGATGGGATCAGCTATTGGGTCGGTGATGGGATGCTTGTTCTTGATGCTTGCAATGGTCAACGTTGTGGAGATCAAGTTGGGGTTATTGTCTTGCGGAGGCAAAACAGCTTATTCTGTGGCCACGTTGATTATCCTGGTGACCATTGGACTTTCGGGTTATATATCCATCGCTGTATATGCTTTTATGCATTAAGTCGATCTTTTGAGCTTGTGGTTTTGGTACTTGTTAGTATAATATTATCTTGTATGTTTTTCTCAAATGGTGATCTCTAGTCATTTTCAGGAGAAGGGTTGTTTTTTTTTTCTTTTCGGGCATGTGTGCGTGTTTGTTTAACTTTGCTCCTCCTTTGGAAGTCTATATTAGCTAGTGTAATTTTTAATATATATCCCCTCAACTATGTTCTAATTGTTAAAGTTTGTGTTGAATTTCACAGAAGGGAGCCGAGCAAAGTTGAACGATGAGAATTATAAGGATTCAACTATATCATTTTATATGATCTTTGATGATGCGCTACATATATTGATGATGTAGTCGAATGCTGATTTTCATTGTACTATTTGTTTGATTGGACTTTACCTTCTTAAATTTGAGCTTAGTTAAGAATCTACAATTTAGTGCAATAATGTCAAAGAACAAGGGGTGTTTGGTTCAAATTTTGAAAACAATTTTTTGATCTCAAAAACTTTGAAAACTCATTTGGTTAGTATTTTTGTTCTTGAATTTTCGAAAAAAAAATGAAATTTAGAGAAAAAAAAATAGAAAATAAAGTAGTATTATTTTCTGAGTTTTCTCTTGAAAATTATGAAAACACGGAGGTTCACCCTTCAAACTTTCTTAGCAGTAAAATACATTGTTCTCCATCTCTCTCTCTCTCTCTCTCTCCAACGATGTTGCGCACTGAAGACCGGAGCAATGAAGATCGTTGCTCTGTCACTGGAGTTTCGATTCTCCGTTCTCTGTCTGTGCTCAAATTTCTGTTCTCTGTTTGTGTTCTCTTCTCTGTTCTCTGTCTATGTCGCTGGAGTTACTCTCTCTCGCAACAATTAAAGTTCAGATTTACATAGATCTGAAGCTCAAATCTGTGTATATACACAAATTTGTGCTCAAATATGTGTACATATAGATCTGTGTATATGGGTTGTGTCTATGTGTATGCATGTGACTGTGTGTGGGTTTTGTGCAAACAGAGAGAGGAGAAAGAAAGATAGATATGAGAATGGTGAGTTTTGTGGATTATTATCCAAATAGATTTTATAATTCTTTGTTCTTTAAAATTATTTTAGAAAATATATAACGAAACATGTTTTGCAATCTAAAATTTTTAAAAATACTTTCTTAAAATTTTTCTCAAAAAATATTTTTGAATACTGTTTTTTGATATGTAAACCAAATATGCCCCAAGCTTTTTTAATTACTTTAGCATATTGTTTTAAGTTTCTACTAGTAGTGAATTTTTTTTTTTTTTTAAATTTTGGGGGGTGGGAAGGGAAAAGGATACTTGAACTCTTGATCTCAAGAAGACAACTCATTCACAAGGCAAAAAGTACTATTGGACTAAAGTGAATACGAGATTTGACATAAGTTCCTAAATGCTGCCTACAAAAATACCCACTTCAATACATTGTTTGGACTTTGGAGAGTGATTGATGCCTTATGCACAATCATACTTCCAAAGTACGGACAACCCTTCAAACATTGTGTGGACCTTTCAACACTTTAAGGTACGTTATGAGATGAAATTGATACAAAATTGATAATTAGGAGATTAAATTGAAACAATTAAAAGTTGAAAAACTAAATTAAAATCGGATACAAAATTATGGACTAATTATGATATTTTCTCCAAAAAGATAGCCCAAATAACAGGTGCCGTTGAGATTCCCCAAATCCAACTCTAAGGATTTCCAACATGGACGTCTAAGACCAAAGATTAAGTTTAATAATTGTTCTTTTTGGCAATCGCTAACTTAATTTTTTACTCTAATTTAAGTGAAAAATTTAAAAGAGTACAAATTCAAATTTAATTCAATTTTTTTATTTAATTTGAGGGTAAATTTTTTGATACATAGTGCCTAGACTTGTGTCGATTAGTCCTTCAAATTCAACGGTTGTCCACCGTAACATTTTAATGTCAAAATCTACTTTTTAACACCCTTTAACGTATGTAAAACAAAAAAATAACTAAAATTTAGTTAATCAAACACAAAAAAATATGTTTAGATACTCTAAAATAACTTTTTTGTTAAAGTAATACTTTAAATGTAGAGTATCATTGTATCAATTTGTATAAATACTTGAGAAATGTTATTTGGGTCAATCACAACTATTAAATAGATATTGAGCCCTTATAAATAAAGAGACCCACAATGAAATCAATGGTAATGATTGATCAAATTTATATTTTAAGTCCATATTTTAAGTCTACGTAGTATTACTCTAAATACTTTATAAGTTTTTCTCACTCTTTATGTGCTTCCTCATATTTCTTATCCACTCTTTGTCTTTCTTTTTATTCTCTCTCTTCATCCAATAGTCCAACAAAAATACAAAATATGTGAAATAAATATTTTGAAAAAATAGTTAAAATATAAAAATTCTATTAAAGAGTATATTGAAAATGTGAATAATTAAAATAAATAAATAAATAAATATATATATATATTTTTTTAAATAACTAAAATACAAAACCTTAAAACCTTATTATTGATGCTTTAACCAGACCCGGGAGTCTGGACCATAAGGTTTTTTTTTTGTGAAGATGGGACCATAAGGTTCATTTGGTCACTTTATGAAAGGTTCAGGTTTGGTCAACATCATTTTTGGTGTGAATAGCAAGACCCACCAGTACTCGTGATGCACGTTGTACCTGTTACTGTCTTTTTTTCTCCTTTAAAATTTGCATTCCTAATCAGTATGATATTTGAATAATAGTTTTCATCAATATTTTTTAGAAAGACTTCTTGATTCAACGATCATTTAAAAAAATAAATTTTCTATGTACATGTATGTTGACACCTATTTCACCTCTTAATATCTACATTATTGCCTGCTTCTAGAGCATTTTCAACCCTAACTTAAATTTGAGTTAATATTTAAATAAAAAAATTAATTTAATAGAAAATACTCTAATTAAAAAATTCAAAGTTAAAGGAAACTTTTGCTAAACATTAGCTCCAAAAAACCTACTTTAATCACTATAATACTACTTTAATGCTTCATTTGATAGAAATGATGAAAAATATGAGAAATACATTTTCTATCTTTCAAAGATGAAAAATATAAATGATACACTTTCTTTCTTTTGTATTTGATTTGATGGATGAAAAATAAAAATGACTAATTTTTTTTAAATTTTTTTTGTCTAATATTAGGGGTGACGATCAAGCTGTGTCGTGTTCGATTCGTATTGAATCATAAATTTATGAGCCTTTTATATTTCTTGTTCGCGTGTCAGGTTATTTTTAAATTCGAGTGATAAAATTCGTATCGAGTTCGAATCGTGTCATCATATTGAGTCAAAAAATTTTACCCCTACTTAAGATGAAAAAAATATTTTTTAAAATTTTTAATTTTTAATTTTTTTAAATATATATAAAAATACATATTTTATCATTGTATTTTTATATGAAACTAAAATATACATAATATATCTATATAATAAAAAAATTTACCATTCAAATCTCAAAAGATAAATAAAATGGCTTTTGTTATTCGTAGTTGAAATCATTTTAAATTTTATTTTAAAATTAATCTAACGTTTAATATTAATACACTAAATTTAATGGGAAAAATAGATTCTCTAAGGATGTGTTTGAAGTGACTTTTTAAAATTATTTTTAGAAATTATTTTTCATAAATACTTTAAAAAAAACAGTGTTTGAAACCGCCCCCACCACCACCGTCACCACCGTCATCGCCCACCACTACCACCACCATCACCACTATTGTCGTTGCTGTCATCATCGCCGACACGACTACCACCACCACCGCCAGCTCCACTACCATTACCACTGCCACTGCCACCCCCACCATCACTGTCACCGCCGCCACATTGCCACCACCACCATGGTTATTGTCATCCACCACAACCATCACCGTCTCCTACCACCACCAATACGCCCCTCTATCTCTACAAACCAATATTTAAATTCTTTTATCTCTTCTCTATGTTTGTAATTTGATTTTGAATATAAATACAAACATGTTTATTGTTTACTATTTTTTATTACTCTGTGCCTTCAAACACAGACTATAATTAGTAGACAAATAAGATATAACTCAACACAAATAATTAACTTTTTATCCACCTTTCTTCCAATTTTGAAGGGATTGATTTTGGTGAGTTGAAAGAAAAGTTAATCTATCCACTTTTTCATCTTTCCTATTTTTCTTGCTTACCAAACATGATATTTTATTTATCCCTCCAACTTTCTATCCTTCCATTTTTTCATCATACCAAACGGAGCATAAGTCTCCTATTTTTTAATCAATTGTAACTTTTTTTTAAAAGGATAATAAGAGTAATTCTTTCTTTTAAAAGTAATAGTCTTACCAGTAAAAATAATAATTTGATATTTTTTTTTATACCATAAACTTTCACAGTAAAAATAATATAAATTTTAGTAAAACGTAGCAATCTCTATCGGATTTAAAGTTTGAAGTTTCCTCTACATTTCAAGTATGAGCTCATCGGTTAGGTTAATCCCATCCCACGATTCTTTTGAACAAAACCCCCCACACCTCTTTCGTGCCTTTTCAATAAGGAAAAGCCAATAGGAAAGCACCGCATTTCACTCTCTCCCCACGCATCACTTTCCCTTCGGCTCTAGGGCATACAAAAACAAGTCCACCAAGCAACCACACCCCCCGGTGAATTAAACCCCTTTCTCTCTCTCTCTCTCATTTGAGACCCAACAAGTTTAACATTCAATCATGGAAGAGTAACCCTATTTCTATCTCTACTTGCATATATACTGTATATATGTGTGTTTGTCATGGTTTGTAATGGTGATTGTTTTCTTTGTTTCTTCACAGATCTGAGACATACCCAAAAGACAATTACGCCGCAGCAACTGGAAGAACCATATCCGCGCAATCTTCATCATCAACCTCGACCACCAGCGTTCACGTTACAGCCCTTGATGGCCTTGTGAGCGTGAACTCTCTCTTCACAATTGCGGTATTTGTGGGTCTCTCTCTCACCACTCCAGGTCAACGTAGCCTCGAGAACTCTTCCTGTGATGCCAGCGTTGACGTAGCCAAGAAACTCCTGGTCTTTGAGGTTATTGCTTTCAGTTTCTTCCTCTTCTCTTCCCTCGTCGCACAAGGTCTCAAATTGGCCATCAATCTCTTGAACAGTAAAGACATTGATGAGGCATTTAGGGCCCATATTAATATTAGAGTCTTGAGGTTTGGAATGCTCGGCTCAGCTGTAGGCTCGGTGATGGGTTGCTTGTTTTTGGTTCTTTCTATGGTTAATGTTATCGAGATCCGGTTGGGGATGTTGTCTTGTGGGAGCAAATCCGCCGTTCAAGCCGTCGCGACGATGATTACATTAGTTACCTCTGCACTTGTGGTTTATATATCAACTGCTTTTTATGCTTTCCTGCACTGAGTGAGGCTTATAAGTGCCAGTTGAACCCATATGTATTGTATTGCCTTGTTAGAATGTATGATGTACTTTCGAATTTTAAGTTCTATGTAAGATGTTTCTTGTCTTTATTTTTTCTTCTAACATTGGAGGAACTGATTATCCTTTTGTCAATTAGATAGAATCTCTGACTCATCGATTTAGTCGAAATTTGTGCTCATTTGGAAATTTATAAATGACTCAATTTAGTGAGAGTTTGATGCATTAGGATCATAGGGCAAGTCCAATATACTCCATGTTTCTTGGTGAAATTGGTACTATGGACTATGGAGTTCATCAGAAATTATTAGCTAGTTTGTTAGATGGAGTTAGGGGTGTCAATCGAATTATGCATTTCGAGCTTTAGTTTATTCAACCTTAGCTCGAATTGGTGAACTTATGCGCAAGCTTGTATCGAGCTCGGTTACCGAACCCTAATTATTGTTCAAGCTCAGTGGCGCAAGCCAACTTCTAGCCAAAAATGAGTTCGGAGAAAAATTCCAAAATCCTACATCTACAAGTTAGAAATCCAACTTCACACAATCCAAATCCACCAACTCCACATAAAATTCATTCAAATCCAAATCTAAACACAAACCCTAACATCAAAAGGACACTTAATCATAACAAAACATACAAAAATTACAAAAATTTGTATTTGCTAATCTGTCTTACAAATATCAGAAAGATCATGACCAAAACAAATCATAGTATTGCGATACATAATCTTCGAAAAATAACCTTGAAGAGAAAATTCAAAAGGCTAAATGGTGTTTTAGTGTTGGGAGGAAACGGGAAAGGAATAACGAAAGAGAGGAAAGGGAAGATTGGAAGTCTGTGAAGAAGAGCGAGGGGGGAGATAAGTTTTGAATGAAAGACAGGGGGAAGTGGTTGCGGAGCTCAATAGAGAGAGAAAGGGGGAGAGAATTGGAATGAAAGAAAGAAGACCAAGAAGTGCTGGGCTTAAGAAAGAGGGAGTGGATGGGGAAGGTTAGGATGCTGGGGTGTGTGGGGCTAGAGAGAGAGAGAGAGAGAGAGAGCGAGAGAGATGTCCATGTGATGGGATCAATTGTGCAAGTATTTTGGGGATGATTTTCTTGCTCATCTTCATAAAAATATTCTTTGAGTCCTTACTATTTTAATCTATAGCTATTTTTTGTATGACAAATACATAAACGATAAGCCAAGCTCAGGCTCATAATAGCTCGGCTCGGATACAAAATGAGTTTGAATAATTGTTCATATTTAATTTGTGTTATAATATGGACAAGCTTGAACAGGCGAAAAACTTACTGAGCCCAAGCCGACTCTGAGTTGCTCGTTTCCTTTAACAGTCTTACACGTAGTGAACAACATCAGGTTGTATTTTATTTGGTTTGGAAACCTATATTCAGCTTAATTTTGTAGAAGTAGCCCAATCATTTTGAGTGGAGAAGTTATCAGTATTTCAAGTCATTTCAACTGAAGTTGGTTTAATCAGTTATCCAAATAAACTCGTTTGAAGTCATATGAAGTTGTAGGATTTAGGAGTGAGCCAAAATGTTTGTTTCATTGAGTTGATTTCGGCACAGCTAGCTTAATATTGATTGGATTGATTTGCTTTTCCAAAAAATATTCTAGTTGTTGACAAAGATTTTCTTAGGTCTCCTAAGAGTTACAGCTTTTGTCACGGTACTGCTCTGTATTTTCAATCTTTTTGATGAAGTAGAGAAGCATCCATTGCCAAAACAGAGCAAACCTAGTATCAAGCAGCACTATGCAAGAACTTGTACAAGAACCCAAATTTCTGGAATATGATTCCTTACTCCAAAAAAATAATGTTCCCAATATCATGTACCTGATTCAGAATATGATTCTGTACATCATATGAGGTTGATGCTTCAAACTATGGAGCTGAAGGATGACTGCTATGTGTTCTTTTGTATTTTGGATACTGAGCAATCAGGGTGATACATAGGGAACCATTTAGGTGACATTGACAGCTAGAAAACTATATTTGAGCCCTTAGCTATGCCATTGAAAGGTACAGAATGTCAGAAGACAATTTTATGTTGTTGAACCCTTGTTACTTGTGGAACTGATTTCTAGTCTACATCTGAGTAAGTATTAGATATTACTTGATTACATGCTAACAATGGTTGAAATCCTCCTCCTCTATAGTCTAGATGACTTGATGTGGTTGGTATTCTCAAAATTGCTACTTTAGTCATGAGAGTATAACTGTGTTTGGAGTTATTTTAGAATCCTTTTTTACGTGGTTCTAGAGTTCATTTATAGTTTCTTCCACTTAATTATGTCTATCTTATGCTGAATGCAAGGCACGTGATCGACATTAGTTAGACTTTAAAGAGTGATTCTAGTAGGAGAGAATATATACGCGGGCAATGTGCATGATAATTTACTCTATTCTTTGGAGGGATAAAGTGACATTACAATTTGGTTTTTTCAAATTGTTGAGACCACAGGTATATCTTATTTTTTTTTTGCTTGCTCTTATTTATTATTGCTTCTGTGTATGGAGCTGATCCAGAGTTCATGTTTTATCTTTCTCTGGTGTATTAGGTCTGTCATGTAGTCTACAAGTTAAAGCACAACATCAATCAGTCTCAAGCAATTTTGAACCAGAGGACACTTGAGCTTCCAGTTTGCACTGTTTCTTGGTCATTTTTGTTACTAATATGATCACTCTATTTTTAAATTTTTCTCTTCGAAAACAAAGTTGTAGCTTCTTGCACTTTCCCTACCAGAATGGTTGTTCCCATTAAACATTGGTGGATCCTCTGTCCATATGTATGATCTGGTGTTCATTGAAAGCACGTCTTGGAGGCTGATGAACCACCCTTGAATCCATCCTTTCCATTTTTTATTTTGTTTTATCATAGTTAGTAGTAATATTAGTTTTCCCATAAAATTACACTTCTGCACATTGGCCCCACATGATCTCACGACTGATTTAGCTACCTTGCTCACACAGCTGATTTAGCTATTGTGTTATACGTCTTGACACCAGATATAGCATACTGCTGGCTTGTGATTCTGTGTTGCTGTAGTGACAAGGAATGACCAGTATCTCTTCAAAGAAAGTTTATTAGGCAACCAGGCAATTAGTCATTTTAGCGAGTCACTCGAATGTCAGGATGTGCCCAGAAATAAAAGTGTTTTTTATGACTTTAATAATTACATTACATTATCTGTGTTTCTTCTTTGTTCACAAGTGCAGGAGATAGCCTTGCCAAAATCATCCTGAACTGGAGACTGAAATACGGAATGTATATAGCCCATTGATGTTTGTGAAATATGCCCAACATTTAGATGCAGGACCTTCACCTTCGTTTGGGAACACTTGGGATTTCTGTGGTAATCGCAAAACCAGATTTGGCTACGTTATCTCAGAGCAAGAATAAGAGCATTCGTGTTTATCATGCTTAAGAATCCATCAGATGAAGCATTTTCAATACCAGCTTCTGCTTAATTTATGTTTGTTTTGATGGGATGTTCAATGTAAAAATTGAAGTTGCAAAGGCAGCAATTCAAGATGAGGCAGATGCACAAGCAGAGAACGCGGTGCACTTGAAGTTGAGCTGTAGCTCGGCAAACCAGAGAGTTAGAAAGCAAGAAGCATAGGCCGACAAGGCTAGGGCGAGGCCCCCCAATTCTCAACCCCAACCTACACAAGTGGTTTTAGTATAGCATGCTTTATCTTGGTCGGCATGATGAGGAAATCACATAAGGAGTGACTATAAGCCGGAGAACACAGGAGAACGGATTGTGTTGTGGCACCAAGAGAAAGAGTAATGAATTCTGGTGCTTGTTAGAGGTTTCTGGTGGGTGTGTTCAATATCTCTGTTGCTCTCATTGCTCGTGTGTGTGGTGCCCTTGTCTCTTTAATAAAAGGGATGAATGCATTCTTTTCAAAATCTGAACCAAGTCTTTTAATTTTATTCAATTGCAAGTGTTTGGAGACTGGGAGTTTAGGTGAGACCTGTAATTAGGCCTAATAATTCAATAATTAAAATGGAATTAGTGGAGTTGGGTTTACTTTTAGCGAGATTGGTGGGAAATGGATGAATTTTTGAGATATGAATTTGGCTAAACACAACACAAATCTTGTTAAACACATTAACTTGTCAATATGCAATTATAAATGAATTCAATATGAATTGAATAAATTTTTACGAGAAAAATTTAAGTTCCGTATAATTTTAAAATCAAAATTTTCAAATCAATTATGCAAATTAAGAAACTTTCTTTGATTACTCATTCATACCAAATTTTGATGAATCACTTGGAAATTCCTATTAATCTAGTGGTTTCACCAAATCCATTATTATTTTTTTGGTTTCTAAATAATAACTATTGCTAAGGTTAACTATGGCTACGAAAAGAATCAAAGATAGACATAGATTAGGGAATTTGTTTCTTGCTCTTCTTCTTTCTTTATCGTCACCAACATTCTTGTCTAAATTAAAAGCCCACTGAAGTTGCCGAAAAGAGTAGTAGAAAGTAACAGAAATGTAACGTTATAACACTTTTAATACGTTGAAGGTATAATATAAAAAAACTTATTTTAAAGATGCAAAATTAGAAAGCTTAAATTGGTTAAGGTTCAAAGTGAAATTTGTCCTTGTTTTTTTTAAGGGTTTCTTTCCTCGGAAAGACCCTCGTGTCCCTGTCTTTGGAAATTAGGGCTTCGATCTTTCTCTCTGCAAATAATGGATTCTTTGGTAGCTAACTATGCCTCTTCTGACGAAGAAGTAGAAGAAGGAGGATCAGAGAAGCAACAAGAAGGAAACCCATCGAAGTCTGCAGATTATGTTTCAAAGTCTACCTCCAATTTAAGCGATACCGACAAAAATTCCTCGTCCTCCTCTTTCTTCTCTTCTCTTCCACCCCCAAAATCTTCATCATCGTCATCATCATCCTCTAGCCTCGTTTTTCTTCCCCCTCCGAAAACCCATCTCCTAAATCCATCATCTTCAAATTCTAATAGCTCACAAATATTTGCAGAAGAAGATGAAGAAGGACAACCTTCTACCACCCCCAAATTGTTCGATCCCGCTAAACCCACCTCGTTTGCTTCTCTTCCCCGACCCAAATCATCTGCCATACCTCAGCCCAAGATCCAGAACGACCGTCCCGTGAATACATCATCCTTTTTCTCTTCCCTTCCTCCACCCAAGACCCAAAACTCAGACCCACCTGTTCTCTCCAAACCTCTGTCTTCTTCAGATCCTAAACCCAAAAAGGTTGTTCAATTCAGGCCTCCCATAATACCTATAAATTCTCGCGATGTTGATGATGAAGACGATGATGAGAAGGAGATACAAAAAAAGAAGTCGAAAGAATCCGAGTCTTCGACTCAAACTTCGTCCGTGAAGCAATCCTTTTCTAGTATGCTTCCTAAACCGAAGAACTCTGGAGCATTGGGTGCTCTGCCATCTGCTTCGGGTATTGGCAGGAGATCGATTCTGGAAGCTGACACGCCGGCACCGAGTTTGAGTAATTTTAATCCTTTGAGTGAAGTTGGTGTTAATACAAATATGGGGAATCATGAGAGCCAGTCTGTTGGTGGGTCCTCGTTGAGCTCAATTGGAGCTGTTGGTGATTCATTAGAATATGCAGTTGGTGGTGATATTTCGAATTGGGGTTCAGCTGGTGAGAATTATGTTAACTATAACAGTTATGGTGGCTATGGTAATGCTGGTGGTGATTCTTCGAACTGGGGTTCAGGAAGTGAGAATTATGCAAACTATGATAGTTATGCTGGCTATGTTAATCATGGAGAACATGGGAATTACGGTCATTATGAGGATAGTAGGGTTGATGGGTCAGCTGCAACAGTACCACCGGAGATGTCGGTTGCAGCTGAAAGTGGTGTGAGAGTACCTGGGAAGAAAGGTAGGAATGATGTTCCTCAGGAAATAGTCGAGGTGAGGCAGGATGAGTTGATGAAAAATCGACCGAGGGAGGACCAAGCCAAATTAACTGGAATTGCTTTTGGGCCCTCTTACCAGGTATTGGTGCATTCCTTTTGTTCTTTTGATGTCCTTTGATTAGTGTTCTGGGAATTAATATTTAGTTAGGGCTTTGCGTCTTCCTGTTTGCATTAAATAAGCATAACTGGTTTTCATTGTAGTTGTATTAGAGAAGATGTCATAGGAGGAGTAGGCACTGCTTTACATTTTTTGGTATGTATAGTCTATGGAAGTATGGATTGAAGGACACTTATAACACTTTGATTGCCTTTGAGATATTCATTTGTTGAATACAAATTTAATTGCAAATTTTTTTAGAACAGTTGAAATGAGTAGACAGAGTTCCATCTTTGCCCAACCGAAGTGATTGACACTAAGATTCGATGAGTTGCCATAGAATGTTGCAGGAATCATTTGTATTTTCATTTTTGAATTACCCCTAATGGACCATTCAACAAAGCTACACATCAAAGAACAACGCTTGGTTGCAATCGATATTCAACGTTGCTTCAATCATAGTTCAAGAATGGGATGGGCAAGAATTGAACAGTATTGAATTAACCCTAGTAGACCTTTGGCTCTTCCTCAGTACGATTGTTCAAGGAAAGATCAAAGAAACATGCACTTAGCTCACGTGCGTTTTTAGAGATTTGTGCTACATGTATAACATTCGTCACTTTTGATATGTCAAAATAAATGTAGGATGTCTAAGATGCCCTTGTGTTTCGATTCTTCTTTAAGATCGGCGCACTCATATCGGATACGATATTCGACGGACACTCGAGTATACGTATTTGATAATAATTAAATATTAGGAGACTTCACATATTCTTTTGTGTGCGAGCAACAAATATATTTTTTTAGTTGAATTTTTAACAACCCTTTTTGAATTCACATACCATACAAAACATTAACAAAAATTCATACTACTTCAAAGGCATGGGTGATTTTTAAGTATTATCTACAATTACACGTCAAAAAAGTATAAAATAAATCTATTATAGTATAATCCTAGCAAAAATTACTTCTAAATAAATCAATTAGGTAAATATTAGCTTTGATTCCTTTAAGTAGTCACTTTTCTTTGTGAATATACTATAGTGATACGATATATATTTTCGCCGTATCTTGACCGTATTTGTATCTTATTTTTTAGATTTTGTCGTATCGCTATATCCGTATGGTATCCTCCCTTTGTATCGTATCTGTGTTTTATAGGTTCTGAGAGAACTACCAATGTGCTCCATTGGCTTTTTGAGTAGAAGATTTAGCTACACTAATGATGGTCCCCGTCTCATGTTTTACGGCTGGATGAATCTTAGACCTTGTCATAGACATGCATCCAACATTGGTCAAGTCCATGTAACATAGAGGGTTATAAAGTTTTGCTTATTCTACATTATGGTAGACTGGTAGTTAGTATCTTCTGGGAGTACTTGTAACAGGACTGTAGAAAGTTTTCACATACTTCTTTTTGTCCTTGCAAGTATATTTTTCCATGTTCATGTAGAATAGCAAAAAAACAGACAAATAACTGAAACTTCTTGTTGCTATAAAACTGATGGGGCCTGATTCCACATTTGTCTTAATTGGTCCGTTCATGCGCCGCATTTTTTGAGATATGCTTTTCCTGTGTTTGGTTAAGTCAACCCTCCAAATGTGCAGCCATGACCTATAAAGCAATGGCAAGCTATCTAATGTCTTAACAGGTTATTATGCAGCAAAGCAAGGGGATGCAAAAAGCACATTAACTAGGATAGTGTAGTCTTAGAGTTAAGTAGGTAGGCACTAGGCCGGAAGGCAAACTTGCTGGTGGGGACTTAGTTGGCTTACGTATTTGACGGGCATCATAATCCTTTGAAAGAAAGAAGGTGAAAACATCATCTCTTGCTTGTACAATTATGCTCATTCTTTCTGTTATATTATTATTTTATTTGCATGGGTCTCTGGTGCTGTTTTTTAGGTTTTGTGTTATCATCACAAATCCGCAAGTCATTTTTGTGGTTTCTGCCATTTAGTTCTGGCTGATTGATATGAGGCTTGAATCTTGTGTCCTCATTTTGCACTCAGCATGTTCGCATATATAGCATCTGATCTTTTGCTGTCCTCTTTATTTAGGTTTCATTTTGTATTTGTCAATGATCCTTGTTTTTTTTGTAATTTTTTGGTGTTGACATATGCAAATGGATGGTAAAAAATTAGGGAAAACCGATAAGTTAGAAATCTGGAGTGGACTTTTGTATGTGCATAACCCATACATATTCATGTTAATGTTAGTGATGAAGATGGGTTAGGCTTTTCAAAGGGGGGAGAGAGAGAGATCGTCAGGTCGAATTTAGGGATTGAACGTGGGTTGTTGTCATATGTGCTTTCTGGGAAAAAATTAGGTCGGTGGCATTGTTTCAAATCACTGTTTCGGGTGTTAAAGTTCATAGGTATGCTTGAATTTCAAATCCATTGAGCCCAAATCCACCATATGAAAGCAATCTGTTTCTGACAAAATTATCGTTGAAGAGATTTTTATCTGGTCAGCTCATTTCCTTCTCCAATTGGATTGTTGATTTTCCCCAGGAGATTGGCAACCATGCTTATATTTACCTTAACAAAGCTGATTGGTTTCATAATGAGATTACTTTCTCATAAATTCTTTTTTTTTGTTCTTGTAGCCTGTTTCGACAAAGGGGAAACCTACGAAGCTGCACAAGAGGAAGCATCAGATCGGTTCTTTGTACTTCGACATGAGGCAGAAAGAGATGGAGCTTGCAGAGCGGCGTGCTAGAGGCTTCCTCACCAAAGCTGAAACACAAGCCAAGTACGGGTGGTGAGTTTTATGTGACTGAGAGGCGATGATGCTGGTGATGGAGGTGATGATGCATCTGGTGATGCTACAGCTTGATCTATGGATACATGGACCTAGGACATTATGGCAATGGAGTGGCAGGGGCACCACTATCATGGTGTTCTGCAACCGCAACCTAAACGTTGGCCTCTCGTGACGTTCCGCCGTAAGGCTGTTGTTTGCTTGTCTTTAGTTTTCTCCTGTGCCTGTGCCTGCCAATGGATTCAGGTATTCCCCGAGTTTGTCTTTACTAGAAGTCACAACTGATTCGAGTATTTGTCGACAGTGCCCTTGCTAGAGATGGTGGGTACGGTACGTATGGTGTGTTAGAATTTTATATTTTAGGCAAATATTGAATTTTCCAATTCCTTGTTAATCAAGCTCAAGCTGGAAAAGATCGTGTTTCCATGAGTCAGAAGGCCAGGTCACAATAACAATTCCCATGCGACTCCAAGTTGCTTATGTCCCATAGACATTTAGCCACTAATTTTTTTCGTAGCTCATTCGTAAATGAACAGTCAAGAAACAGATTCTTCAATATATTGAGTAGGATAGATAACTGGATTTGGGTCTCCATAAGTTAAAACACTCACTAGTGGTAGACCATAGCGGGTTCTAATTAGGTTCACGGTATGTGATCTAGTACTAAAAAGAGAATTGAATGAGAAGTGTAGAGTGATAAATTTAGATTCCACTAAGCACATTTGTTAGAACATGTATTATAATTGAGTAATTTCATGAAATCTATATAAATTTTAATATATTTTATGGTCACGATGTTACAATGATGAAAATTCGAAAGGGAGGAGATCCTGTTTCAAGTTGCATCAAAAGAATTCTCCATTTGAATGGTTTTGCTTAGGGACAAAGGTATTTGGTTTAATTTATTAGACTTAAAATGATTAGTGTTAAAATGGAATTAGTGTTGATGTGTATAGCTCCTTGGAGCTTGAAAAGAAAAGTTTTCTAAATTTCTTTTTTTGAAAATATAGTTTGAGCTATTATCAGATTTTTTTTTTGAACAACACCTTTTGGTGTTTTAGATGACTAATTTTTTGCTTGATTTTAGGCTTAAAAACCTAGTATGGGCTGTCTAATATTCCTTGGCTTTCATTAGAGTGGTTTCTAAAGATTTAAGAAAAAAATTTAGGAAAAGGCTAAGCATGTGGCAGAGAGGATCACCAAGTCGTTTGAGCTGTCCCTATTTTGTAGTTTTGGTTTGATTCTAAATTTAATTCTAATGACCATTGCCTTTGACCGCTCTTCTACTATTCGAGCATTCGTTCGTTCTCGAATTTTTATTTTTTTGAATCCTAAGACAAACTCTATTTTGAACCTAAAAATAGAGAGATGTATTTTCAACCAAGGGTAAATCTCTTGCAAGTCTTTTGAAAGAGAAATTAGGCTTTAGTGAAGTTTAGAGAGATTTTTTGCAATTTTTTCTAAAAAGAGTTTTTGCGTCAATAAATTGTTTGTGTTGTTTATTATTTTTACATATACACTTACAATTTGAGCATACACTGGTACTTTGTGTTTGATAAATTGATTAATTGACTATTTATATCATAAATATTTGCTTGATTGAGTTTGTTTCCATTGAATTGGGATTCTCGTGAGAGATTGAGTATTGAACTTTAAAATTGATATAATCAAAACACCAATCTTCATGGTTATAAAGGGTTCTCATGCTTAATTACAATATCATTGAAAGAAAAAGTGATTATAATGTCTAGCAACTTACGTGTTTAATCGTAAGACAAGATCCACATAATCTCCACATAACAACATTAATTTTAAATGGATCTAGATCCAATAGAAAAATGTTGTACCCACGATTCTTTAGCGTTTGCTGGTCCCTAATGTGGGAGGATAAAACGATAATTATGATGATGCACAAATTGGTTTTGTGCAAGATCAACAGTCGAGTATTTGTAAGGGTGCAATTAATGAGCAATAAATAGACAATTAATAACAAAATAATAAATAATTAGTCAACACCAAGATATATAGTGGTTCGGTCCGGATGACTTACTCCACTTTCGAAAAAAGCAGCGGTGGCCAGAGATCAATAATATAACCGGGAGAGTACACTCCGGGAGAATTATAATATTGGGGAAAGAGACACTTGGTGTGTAGAGAAGTGTAATGAGGTGTGTGAGATGTCAAAGTCATGCCCTTTATGGGTGACGACTTACATTATATAAGTATAGTGAGGCGGTGCGGTGAGGCGGTCACTACTATTTTTGTAAGTACAATTAATATAGGATTACATCTCCATTATGCATATTGTGATATTCTCTCTCACGTGCTCCTATTCCTTCGGAGGAGGATTCTGACCTAGGTTGGACTAAGTTGGAGTGGCAAAGTGGGGAGGATGAGGAAGAGATAGGAGAGCCCAACCCATGGGCGGCGCCCCTTTGGGCGGTTCCTTTGGCACTGGTGACTTAGGTCCCCTTGATTTATTAGGCCGAGTTCAGTCAATTTTGGGCTCATCATTTGTCCCCCATGCCCCAAGCATCTGACATTTTGCAAGAAGAAGGGATTTAGGGCATGTGTTTCTTCTTCACTTGAGTGAGCAGGAGTTTTCTTGCTCCCCACAACGTTTTTTCATCTTTAGGGACTCTGTTGAGTTTACTGATAAACGATATGTTTTGCATTTTTCGACATTATTCTTGTTGGGTCTTTGTCTATAAATAGAGGTCCTGGTTTCTCCCTCTTCATTCCTCGTTTCATTTTTTATTTCTAGAGGCTTCTCTTAGAAGCTATCCTTCCAAGCTTCTCCAAGAAGCTATTCAATCAAACTTCTTGAAAAAGTTGTTCATCAAGCTTCTCCAAGAAGCTACTTCAACAAGGCTTCCTCAAGAAGCCATTCTTCCTCTATTTAAAGGCTTCTTCAAGAGGCTACTGTTCATCACTCCCATTTCTCTCCCTTAGTCTTCTCTTTCTCAAATCCCATGGAAATTAGGAGCTCAAAGAGTCGCGGAGGAGAGGATCAAGAAGGAGTCCGCAACCTCGGTCTCATAGGCGGCGCCATATGGTGGAGGCATAGTGGGCGACGCCCATGTTGAGGATGGGAGAGGTGACTCCTTGGCTAGGTCCTATGCCATTGGCGACGCCCTTGGGCAAAATGGAGGTGGCGTTTGTATGAGGGAGAAAGAGCAAGAGGAAGACTGGTGCAAGGGAGGTGCCCTTGAAGAGACAAGTGACGCCTGCGGTGCGCTAGGCCGCGCCAGCTGCACCCCAGGTGGCGCCCATGTTCTGCCAGGTGGTTCCCCAGGTGTGATCCAGGCTTCCTTTTCACGAAGTCAGTGATGGAAACGGTACTCAAGTTGCTGAGTTTCTTGCTCCAAGTGACGGTGGTGACTTGGATGCTAGGGGCAGCTTCGGGAAACATGAAGGTAAGTCTGGTGGCACTGTGGGTAGTGCCAAGAAGGGATCAATTAGTGACTTGGATAAAACGAGCACTCGAGGTATGTTTCCTGGTATTCATTTTTACTCTTCTGTGGTTATGGGTACTTTCTAGCTCTGTCTTAACTTCGAATTTTGTGGGTGTTCACTTAGGCGAGAGGGAGACTACTCGAGTCTCTGAGGGAGGCCTGGGGGCCGATGGAGACACTAGCTCTAAGGTAGCTTCTATACTTAGCTCTCTCAACTCCGACGAGGACATTGCAGCCATAGTTTCTTCGTATCGCATTCCACCTTCCATGACGTGCCACTGTGCTGAGGCCGACAAGTTAGCGTGTTGTGACTCCTTCTGCGAGATTGTCCATAATGAGGGCATATTGGAGGCGGGTTTGTGGTTTTCGATACTCGGGCCTATATGTTGGGTTCTGGGGCACTTGTCACTGGTTCCTGGGAGACTGGCTCCAAATGGGTGGAGGGTGATATTAGCATTTTTTGTATTGTGGCGGTTAGTACACGATGCTACTGTTCCTCCACCATTCGAGGAATTCTTGGCCACATATGTGCTCTTGGAGAACCCCGTTTCTCATCGGGGTGGTGCCATTTTTCCCCAAGGTAAGGTAGATTCATTATCGGGCTTACATCGAATCTTCATAGTTGGAAGACTAAGTTCTTCTTAGCTGGAGGCGAGTGGGCCACCGAGTCTGATCGTGACCTAATACCCACCAGATGGGATACAGTACCCAAGACCAAGCTGGGTAAGAACTCTACGTTTAATTTTTGTTCTAGTCATCACGTATTGTAGCTTTGTCGACTCTATCCACAGAGCAGGAGAGCAGACTTCCAATGGTTTGTGACCATCCATTCAAGGAGTTCTCCAGGATCATGTCGGCGTCTAGACATTCCACGGCTTCTCTGAGGCCAAGGAGGAAAGGTACTTGATTTTTCCAGTAGACTCTCTGCGGATACGTCTTAGACTTTCTAACTTACATTGATTCTGCAGGTGCTTTCATTGATAGATCGATGGTGGAGGCGGTCTACGCTTCCAGGGCGGTGAATTCTCCTCCTTCTTCCAAGAGGGCGAAGTCCGGTGCCCCCGGTACTCCTCACTTAAGGTTCCCTGATCAGGATGGTCCCCGAGAGGCAGGGCTTAGTGATGCCCCCAGTTATACTCCTATTCATGTCTCCTCACCCCCCTAGGGATGGTCCTAGCGCTACTGTGGAGGCTAAGGCCTCGGTGCAGTCATCTGCTAGGGCGGAGGGTTCGCCTAGCTGCCCTGCATCGAGAGGTGCTCCAGTTTCCATGCTGCAGGATGTGAAGCTTGTCAGGGAGAGGTTTTGGGGGTTTGTGACCCGTACTGAGGTTGAGGAGGTGTCGTCAACGCTACTGTGGAGGGCTTCGTTTTGGTATGTCCGACACTTTTCTTTAGTTTTGTTCCTGACTTTCCTTTATGTTTTACTTTTGAATGCCTGTAGGTGGTTGTTACTTTGTCCTACATGTTTACGAGCACACTGAAGATCAATGAGGCAATCAATGGCTAGGTAGCGGAGAGGCGGGCACGTGAGGTTATTGAAGAGCAGTTAAGGCTTGAACGGCAGACACAAGAGGATGTCGCAAAGCAAATGAGGCTCGAGCGGCAAGCATGAGAGGATGTCGTAGAGCAGTTGAGGTTAGCGCACGAGAAGGCTGCCCGTCTAGAGGCTGACCTTCGAGTAGCACTTGAGAGAGCTACTATGACAGATGCTCATTTTATGGAGATGAAGAGGATGAGGGGTGTTGTTGAGAGGGCTAAGGCCAACACCTTCATTGACGGCTATGATAAGCTCAGGAGGAAAGTCTCAGCAGTATTCCTTGCTGATGACTTCTTTGGCTTTTAGTCTTATGAGGCTCCCGAGACTGATAAGGACGTGAGCGATGATGGGAGTGGGGGTAGTCAGTGTCATTGGGGGTGTCTTTGTATTTACGTTTTTTGTTGATAGGTCAAATTCTATCTTTTGTAAAGATTTCATGAACTTGAAAGAAATACAACTTTTGAAAAAATATTGAGAAATTTTTATTTTATAGTTCAAAGTAAATACTTCAAAAACGTTGACCAAAATAAAAGGTAAATAATCTAAATAGTGACCACCAACTTATAACTCACTGTCCCCAACTATTGGTAATATTTTTTTAGATGCTCTGCGTTCCATGGATAGGCTAGAACCTTTCCTTCAAAATTCTGGATTCTGTAGGTGCCAGGTCTTACTACCTCTGTAATAATGTAGGGTCTTTCCCAATTGGGTCGCAGTTTTCCTTTTCCGGAGTCTTTGGCAGACATGATGACTTTTTTGAGGACTAGGTTCCCCGATAAGAAGGAGAGAGGCTTTACCCTTGAGTTGTAGTACTTGGTCATGCGACGCTTGTACTCTACATTCCTGAGCATGACTGTCTCCCTCTCATCCTATATCAAGTTGAGGTTGATGTGGAGGCCTTCTTCATTACTGACAGGGTCATGGTGCTGGACTCTAAGGGAGTGTACCCTAATCTCAATGGTATCACTGCCTTTGTCCCATAGGCTAGGAAAAAAGGTGTCTCGCCCGTAGGACTCCTTGGTGTTGTCCGATAGGCCCATAGTACTCCAGGGAGTTCATCTACCCATCTTCCTTTTACACTTTCTAGTATGGCTTTCAAATTTTAGAGTATAGTCCTGACGGTGACCTCTGTTTGCCCGTTTGCTTGTGGATGGGCAGGGTTGGAGTGAGGCTGCTTGATTTGGAGGTCTACACAGAAACTGTTGAGGAGTTTGTTGTCAAATTGCTTGACATTGTCACTCACAATGGCGTGAGGTATTCCAAAGCAGCAGACTAGACTCTTCCATATAAAGTCCTTTATCTTATGGTCTATTATTTTGGCTAAGGCTTCAGCTTCTGCCCACTTAGTAAAGTAGTCGATGACTATGACTACGAACTTGCACTAGCCTCGACTCACAGGGAGGGGACCAAGGATGTCGACCCCCCACATGGAGAAAGGTCATGGGTTCTGAATGGTGGTGAGCTATTCGGGTGGCTGTCTGGGCACAGTCACAAATCGTTGACACTTGTCACATTTTCTGACAAACTCACGGGCGTCTTTGATTATGGTAGACCAATAATATCCTTGCCTGACTGCTTGTGAGCTAGTGCACGCCCTTCTAAGTGATTTCCACATATCTCCTCGTGGATCTCCCTCATGGTGTAATTGTCTTCGTTGGGGGAGAGGTAACGAAATAGTGAGAGAGAATAACTTTTCTTGTAGAGGATGTTTTGCAGGATGACATACTTGGATGCTCTCATTCTCAACTTTATGGCATCTACTGGGTTGTCTGGGAGAGTGTCCTCCTCTAGGTAAGCTTGGATGTGAGTTATCTAGTTGGACTCCGAGGATGCACAGTAGACATCATCTTCCTCTATTTTGGAGGTGCTAGGCTCGAACTGGTGACCTGTCAGCGCCGGGCCCATGAGTATGTTGGTGGATGCGAACTTGGTGAGGGTGTCTGCCATGACATTCTCCTCTTGAGGCACATGGTTGATTTGGAAGCTGGTGAACTTTTTTAGCAGAACTCGGACTATTGTGAGGAAATCTTGCATTCTTTCCTCCTTTGCTTCAAAATCTCCCTTTACCTAGTTGACAATGCGCTAAGAGTTACTGTAAGTTGTCAAATAGAGGACCTCTATCTCCAATGCCAACCTTAAGCCTGATATGAGGGCATTGTACTTAGTTTGATTGTTTGATGTGGCAAAATAGAGGCAGACGACGTACTTTAGTGGAGTGCCATGGGGGTTGACCAGTACTTGTCTGGCGTTGCCACCCTCGTTGGTGGAGGACCTATCCACGTAAAGTCTCCAACCTGGTATAGTAGGTGGTGGAGAGGGAGTTAGCTCTACGGGCAACGCTGGCATCAAAGAGGTAGGCAACAGGTTGTTGGGCGACGCCTAGAGAGAGAAGAGAGTGGGATTTGACATATGCAGGAAGGGCAGTGCCTTGGGTAAGGTGGGTGGCGCCCAAGGCTGCCCAGTTTGTGGAGTCGTCTCTAAGTCCATCTCCGAGTCGTCGAGTCTTCTTGGTGTAGTGCCTAGAGTGGTTTCCTGGAGGGTGGAGTTAGTGTGTACTGAGCAGATGGGCGCAAGGCGCCTGATGCTTCCTTCTAGGACTCCTGTAGCGGTGTAGACTTGGCCACGAAGTCAGCAAGTGCTTGTGCTTTGATGGTAGCCCTCGACTGATACTACACATCGAATTCACTCAACTCGACGGCCCACTTGAGTAGTCAATTGGAGACTTCAGGCTTTCCCAAAATCCTCTTGAGGGGTTGATTTGTACAACCATGATGGTGTGGCTTTGAAAGTAGTGGTATAGGCGCCTGGCGATAGTGATAAGCGCGAGAGCTAACTTCTTGAGTTTTGAATACCTTACATCTGCCCTCGGTATGCTCTACTTACATAGTGTATAGGCTTCTGGATGCCTCCATCTTCCCTAATGAGGACGGAGCTCACAGTAGAGGGTGAAGAGGAGAGGTAAAGGTACAGAGTCTCTCTTGGTGCAACATGGGAGAATAGAGGTGGTGTGGCGAGATAGACCTTGAGTCTTTGAAAGGCTTCCTTTGCATCTGGGCCCCATTGAAAAGACTTGCGGAGGATTTTAAAGAAGGGTAGGCATTTATCTACTAATTTAGAGATAAACCTGTTGAGGGCTGCTACCCTCCCGTTAGGGTCCTGGACCTCCTTTGTTGAAGCAGGGGACTTCATCTCCAAGATGACTCTGATTTTGTCTGGGTTGGCTTCAATACCCTTTTTGTGGACTACGAAGCATAAGAACTTTCTTGAACTGACGCCAAAGGCTCACTTTTTAGGATTCAGCTTCATTTTGTAGGCTCTTAACACGTCGAATGTCTCCTGTAGGTGCGTTACATGGTTTGCTGCAACTATACTCTTTACTAACATATCATCATCTACATAAACCTCCGTAGTCTTTCCTATCTGAGTCTCGAACATCTTGTTCACGAGGCGCTGGTAGGTGGCTCTGGTGTTCTTAAGCCCGAAAGACATCACCCTATAACAGTAAGTACCTCTTGGGGTGATGAATGAGGTTTTCTCCTGATCCGGAGGGAACATGTTGATCTGGTTGTATCTGGAG